GCTGAGCAGGGAGCCCGATGCGGGGCTCGATCCCAGTACCCTGGGATCATGACCTGAGCCGAAGGCAGACGCTTAACGACTGAGCCACCCAGGCGCCCTCAAGTAAACCCTTTGAGTGACCTATCCAGGGGCAAATTCAAGTTTAAGAGGCCAGAAGCTTAAATAATTTGGGGCCCTTTATAAGAAAAAAAACTACAAACAGAAAATTAGGCCCTTGGAAGGAGTGCCCGCAAGTGGGCAAGGAGCCGTAAAGCGTAAGCTTCATTGGCTTTGCGGTCAGGCCCCCTCTAGTGTCCTTCTGAGACCCTGACTGACAGGGTCCCCACCCTTTCCGCTGGGTGGGGTAGAGGTTGCTGAGTTTCCTGCCAGAGAACTCCCACCTACCTGGTCCAAACCCAAAGGAGAAGGCGCTCACAAAGACCATCATGCAGACCAGCGCGGTCCAGTGCAGCAGGGCGAGCTCGGGGGCAGAACGGGGCGCAGGGGCGGCAGCGCCTAAGGCCGGCAGGGGAGGGGCTGTGCGGTTCCCAGCTCTGGGATGAGGCTTGATTTTCGTAGAGGTTGGGGGGACTGGCTTCCCTTGGTTCTCACTGGTCGCTGGCAGTGGAAGTGGACTTACGACGGCCCCTGGCAGGCTCGAGTCTCCAGGGAGGCCTGCCGGCCTGCTGGCGTTGGGCAGGGCCAGGCAACTTGGGCCGGAGTCCATGGGCGCGGCGAAGCTGACGAGCCCGATGCCGCTGACCGACAGGGCCATGAGGGCACAGCCAGCCAGTAACAGGGCCCTGCGGCCCGCTCGCTCCACCAGCCCCAGGGCCGTCAGGGTGGACACCACCTTCACGGCGCCGAGTCCCACAGAGGCCAGCACAGCTGAGGAGCCCCCACGGAAGCCGACTGAGTGGAATATGGTAGAAGCATAGCACAGCACGTTGGGCTGCCCCGTTAGTTGCTGGAAAATCACCAGCCCCAGCCCCACCATGGTCCGGCCTCGCATGTTATCCCGGGCCCTGAAGAGGTCCAGAAGGGAGTATCTTGGCCTCCCCAGCTTGGTGGCCTCACCTCCCTGGAGAGGAATGAGGTCCTTGTGGGCTGCAGCCTCAGTGGTCCCAGCAGGGAGACAAAAGAGGCTGAGGGACTGCAGAAGAGCAGGTGCGGCGGCCCAGCCGAGCATATGCCGCCATCCCCCCGGGGAACCAGCCAATGCGTAGTTGAGTGCATAGGAGAGCAGGATGCCCAGGGTGATGCCAGCCTCATAGAGGGACACCAGCACTCCCCGCTGCCGGGGCCCCACCAGCTCTGACACATAAATACAGCAGGCCATGGAGGAGAGGGAGATGGCAAAGCCAGCCATCAAGCGGCCCAGGACAAGCCAGGCCAGGGAGCCAGCCAGGCCGAGGCTCAGGCTGCCTGCCAGAAGCACCACATTGCTGCCGAGGATGGCTTGTCTCCTGCCATACTGGTCGATGAGGACGCCCCCCACCAGGGAGGCAAGGAGAGCCCCCAGGAGCAGGCTGCCCACCAGGAGCTCCTGCTCCAAGCAGGAAAGCCCGAAGTCAAGCTGCAGGGGCAGCAGGGCACCTGATACGACTGCCAGTTCATAACCGAAGGTCAGGCCACCCAGCAAAGACACAGAGGCACACAGGGGCAGGAGCAGTTGGGGACGGCCTGGAAAACAAAAGTGACAAGAGCGGAGTTCAGGATGGTTCCTCACCAGAGCATCCATCCATGAACTTCCCCTCCATCTGCCAACCCCTCATCTATCCATCCAGCTACTCCATCTATTCACCTGTCCATTCATCCACCCGTCCATTCATCCACCCATCCTTCCATTTATTGATCTATCCATCTTTCATCCATCCATCCACTCCTTCCTTCAACCACCCACCCCTCCATCCATCTACTGTCATTCATCTATCTATCCATTTACTGATCCATCCATCCATCCATCCATCAATCCATTCATCTACTCATCCACTTCTTCCTTCATCCCTCCATCCATCCACTTCATTCATTCACCCACCCACTCCATCCATTCATTCACTCACCCATCTACTCATGCATGCTTTCATGCATCCATCCATTCATCCATCATCCAGCCATCCACCTCTTTCTTCTTCCATTTCTCCTTCATCCCTCCATCCATCCATCCATCCACTCCATCCGCTTATCCAGCCATCCATCTACCCATGCACGTATTCATGCATCCAACCATCATTTGTCATCCATCTATCCATCCATTTACTCCATCTATTCACCCATCTATTTATTAATCAATCTATCCATCCATCCCTTCATCATCCCCTCCTCCATCCATCCACTTGCTCTATCTACCACATATTCATCCATCTATTTGTCCATTATATACTCTTTAATTCACCATCCATCTGTTTATTGATGCATCTACCCACAAATACATCCATTCATCCACCAATCTTTGATTCCATCCCTTATGTACCCATTCACACACTTACCCATCCATCCATGCATCCACCCCTCCAATCATTCAAAAACTTATTTATTCGGCATCTACAACATGCCAAACAGTGTTCTTGGGGCTGGCAATACAGTGGTGTTGTCAAGCACCTGATATTCTAGTAGAGAATGGCAGACAATAAATAAATATATATATATAACTTTAGGTGGTGAAAGATGTCATTTAAAAAAGCCAGGAAAGTGGATTGAAAATGATGGAGGAGTTCTATGTTAAATAGGGTAGTCAGTTAAGGCCTCTCAAAGAGGGAAGATTTGAGCAGAGATCTGAATTAAGTGAGGGTGAAAGCCATGTAAAATCTGGGAGAAGAACATTCTAGACAGAGGGAACAGCAAAAACAGAGGCCCTGAGGCAAGACAGTTTTTGGTATGTTTGAACAACAACCATTAATATTAATAGCTAGTGCTTATATGACATTTATTAAGTGCCAGGCCCGGTTTTAAGAACTTTACACACACTTACTCATTTAATTCTTTTTTTTTAAGATTTTATTTATTTGTCAGAGAGAGAGAGAGAGCACGCGCACAAGTAGGGGGAGTGGCAGGCAGAGGGAGAAGAAGGCTCCCCACTGAGCAGGGAGCCTGATGCGGGGCTCGATCCCAGGACCCTAGGATCATGACCTGAGCCAAAGGCAGACGCTTAATGACTGAGCCACCCAGGCATCCCTACTCATTTCATTCTTACAACAACCCTATAACAGTATTTTTAGCATCATCCTCCAAGGCTCAGAGAAGTTAAGAAACTTTCTCATGGTCACACAGCAAGTGGGTGACTGATGCAGCAAGAGCGTTCAGGCTGTTAATCATTGCGTTTTCAGCAAGGAGGCCAGGATGGCTGGAGACACCTCCACCTGAGGAGATAATGAGGCAGAAGTAGGCAGGGGCCAGGTCACGCGGAACTTTTTAGGTCATGAAGAGAATAATGAATTTCATTCTCAGTGGATGGAGGCAAGTCTTGGAAGGCTTGAGCTGGGCAGAGAGAGTAGTCACCAGCACATGTGGCTCCTGAGCACTTAAAATGGGGCTAATGTGATTAAGGAACTGATTTTTAAAATCGTATTTAATTTTAATTAATTAAAACGCAGTTACAGGTTACTCTTAATTCTTAATTCACACGCTTACACATAGATATTTCTAGAAGCATCTAGATTAATCTAGCAGTATCTATCTCACCCACACCCACCCTGGACCTGACAAGAACATTCATAATACTACAGACTCACTGAGCGTATCTCAACCAGGCACTGCTTTGAGCACTTTAAGTGCAATAACACATTTAACTTAATATAACTTCATGTGGTGGGCTTTTGAATTATTTATGAATGAACAAACTGACCATCAGAGGTGAAGTGACTTGTCTAAGGTCTAAAGTAGTAAGTAGCTGAGCCTAGATTCAAAGCCGGGCCGTCTGGCACCACATCCACACCCTTAACCACCCCCTTAGCAAACCTTGGCATATTATGATTTTGCGCTGTTCTCTCCTACCTCTACCTCTCCCCATCTCTGTTAGGCAATTTTTGTGCAGGGGGAGGAGTTTCATGGGTGGAAGGCTTGGTGCCCATTTCTGCTCACCCTTATCCCTCCCACCCTGCCCCCTGGGAAATCACCTCCTCTGTTTCCCTGGCTGGCCCCGTGCTTCTTGTTCATGACCATCAACGAGCACCCTAGGAAGATGATGGTACCCGGGTCCTGTCCTGTCTTCACCTCCCTTTGCCCCATCTCCCTCGGTTCCTGGAGCTTGCTGCCAGAAAGGAAGTTTCCTCCAGGCCATGTGAGGCAATCAAGTGAAAACAGCATTTGTTTGCCATTTCCTCAGTTCCTCTGGAGCTGAAAGGGAACCCAGCCAAGGGGCTCAGAGGCCAAGTTGACTGTCCACAGGTCCCGCTGGAAAATGCATCGGGGCAGATTCGGGTCACGGTGGTTAAGAGCAGAAGAGCGAAAATAATAGTGAAATAAAATAGTAATAATAACAGGTGTCATTTATGGAACAGCTTCCCTACGTAGAGACGTTAGTCTCTCAACTCATCTTCATAAGAACCCCTAGGTGGTACAGCTGCAGTTATCCCCATTTTAGAGATTAAGTTTCAGAGTGTTCTCACAGCTGGGAAGCAACCGGATCAGGACTCACTGATCCATCTGACTCCCAAACCCATATACTTAGGAGCTTTGCAGAACAGACTTCAAGCGAGAAGGACCATCAAAGATAGGTGGGATGTGAGAGAGAGCAGAGGTGCAGGGCCAGGGGTGGAGGGGAGATACAGACACATTAGCTCTCGGGAAAACCCAGTCACAAAGCAGAGTGAACCAACAGTGCCCCAAGGAAGGATGAAGGGCAGCCCCCAAGGAGTCAGGGTCAGAAACACGAGGGAAGCACATTCCCTTCCTTAAGCTTTCCTGGCTTCCGTGGCCTCTGCTCTGTAAGTCCTAACCCCTTCGCCTGCCATCCCAGGCCCTACCTGAGCCGGTGGCCCTGGCCCAACTCCTCAGTCACTTCCCCTCCCTGACTCTGTCCCCACCTCCCCTCCTGCCTCCCCAAGCCCCGCAAACACTTGCTCTCCGCACACACGGTCCATTTCCATGCCCCTCTGCCCGCCGCTGCATCGCCTGTGTCCCCACAGGCCCACTCATCCTCCTCAGTCCCAGCTCGCGGGCACATCCCCGAAGGGCCTTGAGTTGTAGTTCTCTGTTCTTTGGCATCCCCCGCCCTCTTTCGGGGTGCTGCCCTTCCCCGTGCTTTGTCTCTGGGTCTCCTGGTTTGGATACAAATGACCGCGGCCACCTCCACCCCCACTGCCTAGCTCCAGGGCCGAGTCCATGACCCAGATCCGACCAACCAGCAGGTGCCCAGGCCCTGCGCAGCGATGAAAGCCACGTGGCTGACCCTGGGCCGGTGTGTCGGCTCACTGAAGGCGCTAAGCTGGTAGTTTACCTGCCTGGAGCCGCTGGGGGCCAGCTTCCCCCTTGCGGGGGGGTCCCTGACAACACTGCCTGAGCCCCAGTTCCTGAATCCATGGACTGCTCATGACTAAGGAATGTCTTTTTTCCTTCTTTCTACTTTTTCTCTTGTCTCTTCCCTCCCCTCCCCTTCCCACCCCTTCCCTCGTCTCCCCTCCTCTTCTCTTCTCCTTTTTTTTGCTTAAGGTAATTCATGGGAGGCCCTGGCTAATTCTTGTACATCTTCCTCCACTTTCCAAGCCACACTTTTCACTTCCCGCCAACTCTGCATTCCCCCTTCACTTGCTGACACCATCTCAAGTTTGTTGCTGTGTCTTCCTTATTAAACGGGGCAGGGCAGCGTTAGAGACTTCCTGTCTGTGCCTCCTGAGCCCCAGCTCTGTCCTGACGCCCCAGCGGGGCTCAATGAGGTTTCTGCCGAATGAACCCAGGATTGCGTTGGGGACTAGGGAGGTGTCTGCACGTGGCATTGCAGAGGCCGCATCAGATACCTTTGAACCTAGCAGAATGCTACATGACAGCCCCAGGGGTCCTGTGGAAGCCTGAGTCATTCTGCTCAGAGCCCTTGGGGTTCCCACTTCAGTCTGAAAAGAGCCAAAGTCCTTACAGTGGCCTTCAAGGTTTTGCAGAATCTGCCTGCGTTCGTTCATTCTCTCTCTCTCTCTCTCTCTCTCTCTCTCTCTCTCTCGGCTCTGCCATGCCAGTTTCCTTGCTGTTCCTCCTCATTCCTGTGTGACTCAACTCAAGGCCTTTTACCAGCTGTCACCTCTGCCAGAAGAGCCCTCCCCCTCCATTCCTTCCCTCTTTCCCTCTGGTCTTGGCTCAAACATCACCTTCTCCTGAGGCCTTCCCTGGCCCTCTACTTAAAAGAGCAACCTCCCCCATCACACCCAGCACTTCTAATGCCCTTATTTTCCTCCAAGGTACTTCTCACCATCTGAAAGAACTATATGTTTTACATATTTATTGTTCTCTCCAACCAGAATGTTGACCCCAAAAGGACAGGAATTGTTTGTTTGTCCTTAGCTGTCTCCCTGATGCTAAGGACACTTCCTGGCGCTCAGTAAATACTTGTTGAATAAACAGAAGATTGAATGAAGGGACTCTGGGGGCTTAGGGAATCCAGACAGGAAGGGTCTTGGCTCTTGAGGGAGAGGTCTCTTTGGAGAGGTCTAGGGCCTGGAAGGGGCCAAACTCCACAGAAAGTAGAGTAAATCCTG